CTGGTGAACCTCCTGATGGCACTGGTATTTCTGGCCACTGTGTGATACAGAGTGTTGGACTGAATGGGCCTTTGGCCTGATCCAACATTGGCGTCTCTTATGTTCTTAGTAGTATTGCTTTTATGATTACTTAAAAGTACAGTTGTTTAGAGACAGACAGAAAAATAATGGCAAGTATGGCAAAATCCTGGCTACAGACCTGATGGCTACCCTCATGCAGAATCTGCTATGGGGGGGAACAAAAGGAAGGAAGGAAGGAGCCCCGTGGAGTGACCGGGAACATACTCAGGGGAGTTTGGCTGGCAGAGAGCGTGGTCAGACGGCGTGTGCTGGGAGCGGTTTAAGTTGCTCCGGCCCTGATGCGTTTCTTTTTAACCTGGAGAATCGCAATCACACTCACCTCCTTGCTCCGGATCGCTGCGCAGCCACATCGCTCCCCGCTGTCCACACACGGGAGCGTGCGTCGGTGTTGTTTTTTCTCTCTCTCTCAGTTTGGGCACGCGCACAGGCAGCCATCTGTAGAACTGGAATTTTCGCACGTGCGCAGAACAGCGCTTTCCACTTCAACCCGACTGCTGTAACACTTCCCTTTAAAAGTTTACCCCGTGAGATCCCGAACTCGTCTAAATGCTAAAACTAGGCACCGTTTAAACATTGCTTTTAATAAAGCGGTTACTGCAGCCGACTTTTGGACACCCCACAGGGTTTTTGAGACAAGAGGTGAACAGAGGTGGTTTGCCATCGCCTGCCTCTGCATAGCAACCCTGGGTGTCCTTGGTGGTCTCCATCAAAGTACTAACCAGGACTGATCCTGCTAGCTTCCTAGATCTGACAATAATGGTTTGCAGGGGTAATTCCCTAGGAAAAAGAGGTGCCGGAGCTCATTTGCACAACTCATATGCCACACCCCCTGACAAAGGGCAGCCATGTTTAAAATGAGTTATTCAAATGAGTTTAAATCTCCCCCCAGAGAGGCTCAGGGGGGAAGGCAGGCCTGTCTGCCTCCATGCCCTCGCCATCTCCAGCCAACCCGCCAGAGCGGGCTGGCTGGAGATGAGGAGGGCAAGGATGTAGTCACGCCTGGCTTCCCTGCCCGATCTTCTCCAGGTGCCCCACGGCTGTGGGGCACTTGGAGAATATCAGGCAGGGAACCCAGGCATTTAAATCCCCCCTCCCCTGAGTGTCTCTGTGGTCGGGGGGCGGGGCCCGTGCTCCTTTCTGCCGGAGCACCGCTCCGGGGCGCTGCAGCAGGAAATGACCCCTGATGGTTTACCATTGCCTGCCTCTCCATAGCAAGCCTGGGCTTTCTTGGTGGTCTCCCATCCAAGTACTCATCAGGGCTGACCCTGCTTGGCTTCCGACACCCGATGCGACTCGACCATCCAGGTGACGGCACCCGAGAAGACTGTATGTACACAAACCCTCAACTCTCCAATCCTTTTCGAAGGATGGATCATCCTGGGATTGACGCCTGACAGGTCAAGCGTCCCAACTGACACCACTGCAATCCCATACAGTTCTTCGGCAAACCTGTACAAATCAGCAATGCGACTTCAATTCATTTCATTTTCTTTTTATTATTATTATTTCTTTAGGAATGTATCCACAGGGTTTGGTTTCCAGGATGATCTAGCTGGCTCGAGCACCTGCAATGATGGTCCTGACACACCAGAAAGGACTGAATGCGCCTTCCTCTCAATCAATGTTCCCTCTAAGCCGTGGAGTCTTGTGAGCAAAAATTCTACTTGGTGAGCTCCTGGCATTGAAGTTGTGAGTGAGCAATTTGGCTACTGCAGACATTAGTTTGCTCTGGAGCCATCCTTCCTGAGCTAAGATGAAAAGGTGTGAGCCGGAGTCTAAGAAACTGTGAGCTAGCTCACACTCACTCAGCTTAGAGGGAACAGTGCTCTCAATAGAGATTTGCTGAAATCTAAGAGGAAAGCCAGTGAACGGAGGGAGGCCATGGATCAGCGGTAGAGCATCTGTTCGGCATGCAGGAGGTCCCAGGTTCAATCCCCAGCATCTCCAGCTCAAAAGACCACGCAGTGGCACAATGTTCCCTCTAAGCTGTGGAGTCTTGTGAGCAAAAATTCTACTTTGTGAGCGACTGGCATTCAAGTTGTGAGCGAGCGATTTGGCTACTGCATAAATCAGTTTGCTCTGGAGCCCCATCCTTCCTGAGCGAAGACAAAAATGTGTGAGCTGGAGGCTAAAAAACTGTGAGCCAGCTCACGCTAACTCAGCTTAGAGGGAACACTGCCCACCACCACCAATGCTCCCTCTGTGGGGTCTTGTGAGCAAAAATTCTACTTTGTGAGCGACTGGCATAAAAGTTGTGAGCGGGCGATTTGGCTACTGCATAAATCAGTTTGCTCTGGAGCCATCCCTTCCTGAGTGAAGACAAAAACGTGTGAGCTGGAGGCTAAAAAACTGTGAGCCGGCTCACACTAACTCAGCTTAGAGGGAACACTGGCAGTGGGTGATGTGCACAAAATCTGAGACTGGTGAGGGGCTGCCAGACTGAGTAGTCAATACTGAACTTGATAGACCGAGGGTCTGAGTCGGTATCAGGTAGCTTCATGCGTTCGTAAGTACCCAAAAGCCAGACGACAATACTCCTCTGCAATTGCACAACCACTGGCCTACTTAAAGGGAAATTAAAACCCAAGGACAGGAGTGCCTTAAAGACTTACAACATTTCCCCCCAGCTCAAGTGTTTATGAGTCAGAGCCCACATCTACAGACCCCAGCTGGAAGGAAATCCATTGTGCAGACTTTGTCTGGTAAACTGCTGAAGGGGGAGGGAGGAGTTCCAGCAGAGAGAAGCTTGGCGTGAATACATTTTTCAGGTGTGATTTCAGCTGTGTAAGGGAGTAAAAACGTTCAGCTGCCTAAGAGAGCAAAATGGATTAGGCTATTACACATCACGGACAGTCAGAGAGGTCAGAGGATCCAGCCTCTTGTGGGGTACACATAGGTAAAGGTAAAGGTTCCCTTGCTCGAAAGCCAGTCGAGTCCGACTCTAGGGTTGCGGTGCTCATCTCCGTTTCGAAGCCGAAGAGCCAGCGCTGTCCAAAGACGTTTCCGTGGTCATGTGGCCGGCATGACTAAACACCAAGGTGCATGAGGGTTGAAATTTGAAAAGTTTGAATTATACAAAACAAGACGGGGACCCGCGATACTCGTGGGGGGGGAGAAGAGCTCCCTCTCCTCCATCCCCCCCGCTCGATCTCACCAAGGAGGCGGCGGCGGCGGCGAGGCCGGTCCCCCCCGGCTCCGAGGCGGCAGCGGATAGGCCGGTCCTCCCCCCCTTGCTGGGCTCGGCGGCG